GTGGAACACCGTTGTGTGGACAACAATCTCCTGGAGCAACGAAGGAGCTGAAATTTATTTGCCAAAGAAACTACAATGTAGGATTTTTCTTCTCTGAGTTGTTATATCCTAACGAAAAATGTAAGGAAAACAAAATTTAATACATATATTACACCTATTGCATTTTAATTTTCAAGTCCAGCTAGGCATAATCATTTCTCAAAAGGAAAGGAAATACCTCATGAGAAATAAAAGAAAATTATAAAAGGAAAAAAAAAATCATTACCTTTATTCTTTTACCCAGTGACATTGTTTTGAAAACTGTAATCCCTTTTAAAACGTAACGCCTGCGAATCTAAGAGAAAACAAGTTTTAGACATAAAGCACTTAATACTGAGATTCTCTTCTCATATGATTGGGTAGAATCCAGTGCAACAACACGTGTAACAATCGTTATCTTTGATTTCCTTCATAATCTCATTTTAATATTTAAAAATTAAATTACTTTTTGGGAAGGAAAAAGACAAACAACTTTTCTATTTGAGTTACAAAAATTGATTATATTTGTTACTTCAGTGTCAATTTACACTTTTTTCCAAAGTCTAAATTTTAAATAATAAATATTATCTCATTATTTCAGAGATTTTCTGAAAATTGTATCTAAATTAGTCGTTTTTTGCATTATAATCAAAATATTGTTTTTTTCCTTAACTTGGTTTTACTTGTTGTAGAATAATTTAGTAGTAAAATATCAACCAAACAAGTTCTCTATGAAAATGTAGTATTAAGATGCAACTAGAGAATATGTAAACCATATATTCTTAATTATTAATTTTACTCGACGTCGTTATTAGAAATAATAATAAAACATTAAAATAAGAACCATTTTTACACCAAAATTGATATTAATTATATATATTTATAGCGCCGCCACAAAAATTTATTGAACTATAACCCGGATAAAACTTAATTAGTAAAATACTATTAGTGCATCACTTCATCTCTTTTAAATAGAAATTATTTGCGTTAAACCAAATTTATATTAATTATATAAATTTGACGCCGCCACAAAAATTTATTGAACTATAACCCGGACAAAACTTAATTAGTAAAATACTATTAGTGGATCACTTCATCTCTTTCAAATAGAAACTGTTTTTGTTAAACCAAATTTCTATTAAATTTAACGTTGACAACACCTTAGCAATATCCGGTGTTGTCAACATTAGCAAAATACCTTAGTGCATCACTTTAAATCTTTTAAAATATTAAATATTTTGTTAAACCAAAATATATATTAATTCCATAAATCTGTAACACTAAATAAAATTATAGAAATATAAGGCAGACAACACCTAGTTAGCAAAATACTCTTAGTGCATCACTTTAACATTTTGTTTGTTTTTTTGTCTCTTTAGATAGTAATGTATAACAGGACAACGGATATTGGTTGTCAGTTAGCAGAATTCTAAATTTAGAGAAAGCATATTATTTTGATTTATTTACCATAAACATTTTTAAAATTTCTAAAACAATATATTAAAAAATACAAATTTTTTAAACAGGTGGCATTGAAAAAGATAACTAGTTAAAACCTTCTTCTCTCATCCATATATATACGGTATGCTTTACATATAGCCTACTTCTTTACCAATTTTTCTCTCTCAAATTTCAAGTAAGTGTCTCTCCTTTTATGTTTGTTTCCATTAGGTATTTTATTTCATTTTTTGTGTATTCCAGCTGCACTACGATTCAATTTTTCATAGATATACACTTAAATTTCATAAAAATAACATAAAAGATAACTTCTATGTAACAATATCTATATAAATCTTCAAAGTTGAATCTCTGCTTCAATGTCCTTAGTTTTTTTACACAAAAAAAAATTCTTTAATTTTGATTTATATGTTGTTTATTTCTCTGAGAATAAATTGTTAGTTTTCATAATTTTTAATAATTGTTGTTCTATATATTTATAGTCTTACTGAAACTTTTTGTACTTTTGTTATTCATATATCCAAGTGAAAATTCTTTTGATGAAAAATGATCAATGTTGTCCTTTCGATTGATGCACCTGTTACAAGTTTTTGGATTGTTTCAATGTTCACAAGTTTATCTTGTATATTTATGTGGATTTACTTTAGTTTTTTTTTTTTTACGAAAGCTAGCATTTTCAAGTTTATTTTGCATCCATAGCACTTTTAAATTTTTATTAAGGGAATAGCACTTTTTATAATTGCACATATACGATATATCTTTATAATTGTGACGATGTATCAATATACAAATTGAATAAATTTGTAAAGATCTCACATATCTTTTTTGCAGTTAAGAAACCACAAAATATGGATTCATATGATGATTTATTCGAAGATATAACTTTGCAATTTTCTCCATTGTCTTTTTCCTCGTCACCTGAACCATTTACTTCGTTAATGGTATACTTTTTTTTAATTATTTTTCTTTATTGCACATGAATTTTTATTTGTAAATATTCTCTTGTGATATTGGTGATAATATTAAAGTGTTGATATTGTGTAATATAAAGGACCTTCTGCAAGACCCTATGATGGTAGAAACTGAAACAGTGAATGAAGATCATGTTGGAATAATTGCTAATCCTGTTACTACCGAGGCTAATCCATCGAATATAGGACAGTCAGATCTAGCTCCATTACCAGAAACATTAACAATAATACAAAATCCACCTGAAATGGTATGTTACTAACCTTATTCTTATAAAAAAATCTTTATATACCATGAAAATTAAATTTTATTGAAGATGTGAACTAATAATTGATTTATTCACTATATGTAAGCAGCAACAACAACAATTCTTATCCAATTCAGATGGATTTTTACAAGAAAACTTACCAGAGATAAAATCAGATCAACAATGTTTATCAAATCAAAACATGTTGAATTATTTTGAAGAGCCCAATGTTTCTACAATGGTATACCTAATATTTTCTTTTTGTTTTTATTTTCATGATCATCGATTAATTTTAACTCGAT